GAAGAAGAGGAAGAAGAAGAAGAAGAAGAAGAAGAAGAAGAAGAAGAAGAGGAAGAAGAAGAAGAGGAAGAAGAAGAAGAAGAAGAAGAAGAAGAGGAAGAAGAAGAAGAGGAAGAAGAAGAAGAAGAAGAAGAGGAAGAAGAAGAAGAAGAAGAAGAGGAAGAAGAAGAAGAAGAAGAAGAAGAGGAAGAAGAAGAAGAGGAAGAAGAAGAAGAAGAAGAAGAAGAGGAAGAAGAAGAAGAAGAAGAAGAAGAAGAGGAAGAAGAAGAAGAAGAAGAAGAAGAAGAAGAAGAGGAAGAAGAAGAAGAAGAAGAAGAAGAAGAGGAAGAAGAAGAAGAAGAAGAAGAAGAAGAAGAGGAAGAAGAAGAAGAAGAAGAAGAAGCACGTGACGTCGCATAACGCGGACGCACGTGACGTCGCATAACGCGACGCGCCATCGAAAACGTTCGACGCGCGCCACGGAGTGACATCGGGCTTCACGGAACGTCGAGTGGAAAACATGAAAAGCCGCCCTGTGGGCGGACTCCAGATTTTGAGGGCGGCCCAGAGAGCCACCTGTCATCAGGATGGGACGCACAAAAACATACTAACACTGTATGTCCTCCTTGGAGGCGCGCGTACGACCTGAACATATAGTATACCCATCTTGTAGTATATCGTTTCCCGAGCGGTGTGGCCAGAAAGCGCCCGCCACGACGCATATACTATAAGATTTCTCGGTGCGCGCGTCGCCCCTGGGGGGGCGACGCACATATAGTATAAGTATGTTGGGGTGTTGCCGACAGGAGGCCGAAATCAATGAAGGCTGAAATCCAAATCAACAAAATGATCGAAGACTGGGCAAAATGGGACATCGGGCGGGCCAACGACAAAAACACGACACTCGGGCCAACGGCCCAGACGAGGAATCACATCTTCGGGCCAGTGCTCAATCTTAATTTCAGACCTGGCCCAGGCCGGCCCACTCCATTGATTAAAGCCTCCTGGTAAAGATCACCTGGCATCCATCCGTGAAACTGTTGCAAATTTCAAGCTTGAGGGTAATAAGCAGGGAAAGCAGGTCCAACGAAACGTCCAGGCCCGCCCTACCGACACGTCTGAAGCTCGACGGGAAGGAGTTAGCTGTAAAGAGGAGTGATGGGGGAGGAGGGGAAGAGGAGTGAGGAAGTGGAAAACAGAGGGGGGGGAGAGGCAGAGAGACGCGGGCGGTACCTTTCTGCACCCTGTCGGGACGTTTCTGAGCCGTGCTGGGTGGTGGTGGGGCTGCCGTCGGCGCTGTGAACACCCCAAGGCGAGAGTTGCGAGCATCTCAACACCAGAAGGAAAACAGGTTTGCCTCTCGGGGGCGCCTAGAGCTCCGTCCTGGGTCCTTCTCGGAGCCCCCTCGGTGTTTCTTCGACGCTTTGGGCGCCCCGTTTGGACCACGTGTGGGCTGCCGTGAGCCCCTCTGGAGGGCACTCCTTCTCTAGCAGCACTAACACAGTTCCTCCAATAATACATCGAGAACTGATCTGGCATAAGTCGCGCACTGGCGGGAAGGCTTGGTTCCGAGCGCCCAGGGAGGGCCCAAGACGGCCCCATATGGCCCCACGCCGGCCCCAGAGGACCCACGAAGGCCGCAAGAGGCACCGAAAAGACCCCCACGACGACCAAGACGGGCCAAGGACAGCCCAAGATGGCCGCAAGACAATCCAAAACGGCTCCCACACCATACAAGCCATAATCATTGAATGCCCAATGCTCTGATGCGAGTTTCGCATTCCCGCCTTGTCGGTCCTCCGAGCGTCCAAGACGGCCCCACAGATCGCCCCAGAAGGACCCAAAAGGCACCCAGGTGGGCCTCCAGAGGTGCCGATGACGGCCCATGAGGGGCCCAGGACGGCCCAAGACGCCCCCAGAGGGCATGCTCGAAGAGCGCTGAAGCCACCAAGCCGCGAGAGTCGCAGCGCGGCCCTCAGCGCAGCGACGATCCGCGGCAGCCCTGGGGCGGCGACCACAAAGCGGCCAACTCCGAAGCCCTGGATGCATAGATGTTGACGTTACAGTTTGTCGGCGGCGCGTAGACGGGGGTAGGGGGAGGGAAGACGGCTTCTCAGAAGCACCCCTGTTTCTTTGAAGGCACGGGCCTTGTCTGTGGGTGTAGGGCCAGCGCCTTCTAAGAAGCAGCCTCCTTCTAAGAAACCTTCCCCCCCTACACCCGTGTGCGCGCCGCCGAATCCACTTGCATTCCGCCGACCTTCCTCGGCGACTCCGCAGGGTGTGGTTTACAAAGAATGTGGCTTCAACCAGCGCCCGGGTGGGCGGGCGAGCACCTCGACAGAGATCTCTGCCGCGCCCCAGCGAGGGCTCATCAAACCTTTGGCGCAACGGGGTGGCCCCTATGACCCAACGGCGCCGATCGCAAACCACACCCCGGCGTAACCACACCCACTGTGATTGCCGACGCCCGCCGTCGGACACGCCGCCTGCGTAGTTCCGCCGGCTTCCGCCAGCCTATCACTTGTTGTAAGTCCGCGGGCGCCAGGTGGTGCAAGACGGTCCAGGCACCGGTCAAGACGAGCGGTGGGACGCACGGAAGCGAATTGAGGCACGAACGACCGACTGGCCTCTCACAACCTTCCGCCCAACAGGCGAGGGGCGCGAGAAGGCGGGGCCCTTCCCTGAGGCCCCCCGAATGTGCTGGGGGTCGCTCGAGAAGAGAGCGCGGAGGCCCGCGCTCACCGCACCCGCTGCGCGGGCAGAGCTCCGGAGCGCGCGGAAACCCACCGGTAAAAACTCCGAAGAAGCAGCCGCTGACAAGTGCTGCGTGGGGAGTCACCCATCGGCGGTTAAACGGTGGGGCTCTGAGGGATGGGGCCCCAGGGACGAGAGCATCGATCTAATAAGGTTGAACTTGTGATCCATTTCCTATCCGTCGGGCCCCATCCCCCAGAGCCCCGTCGCTGAACCACCGAACCCATCCCCCTGGTGGTCATGTTCCTCTTGGAAGGGGCGGGGGCTGGGTGTACAATGAAAGACCAAACTATCCCAGTGCGACCCTACCTAG